CCCCGGACACGAACGCCTAGCCTCTGAACCACTGAGCCGGCATCTAATGGTGTCAATGTCTAACTCTAGAGATATTTTTGCGACCTTACACATTTGTCTTTGATGGATACTGCCTACATCCGACAGGTTTTTACTCCATTTATCATGTCTTCTAACTAGAACTCCGAGAAATTTCCTCATGAAGCTAGTCACTAGTGAGTACACGAAAAGCACTAATCTACATAACTCTAATTTTAAACATACATTAAAGTAGACTTCATTCCAGATTGTCGCGCAATATATATATATATATATAAGCAACTTTAGGGTAAACAGAAACAACCAATGATATGTATCGTTTGACTCGAACTCAAGGTTGATTGAAAAAACAACACCTTGACTATCTTGATTTTATTCAAAAACTACTGATCTAAACAATTGTTTGTTAAGTTTACAAATAATATTAAACAGTTTTATGTAATTGTAAATTCGAAGTAGAACAGTACAAGTGTATCAGGTAAATCAGGAACACACTAAAAAAACCAAAAAAACCTCATAAACTATCAAAGTTTCATTATATGAATAGTAGGATTCATCATAATTCAGTATTGTTAACAAACAATCAAACCCATGTTAAGTGGTTGAAGTTAGTCAGTCAATAAAATACACTGGACTTAGTTATTCAACAACTTCCAACTGCCTAACACTTCAAATAATGGAAAATCTAGCTAGATCCAGGGTTTCCTGTTAATTACTACTACAACAACTACTTCCAACCACTAATTTATATCTTCATATAACAAACTTATTTGTAAGTTAATGAGATGAATGGATAGATAGATAGATAGATAGATACATAAAAACTTGATTGATAGATTTCGATTTAATATTAATGAATTTTTTTTAAAAAAAATAAACTCCATATTAGTCACTATTCAATTGTCAATAATATTGTTGTAAATAAACTATGAAATATTACCTAGAATATAAAAACTTTATTATTATTATTATTATTATCATTGTTTATCAATTTAAACAGGAAGGGCGGGTATACTTCAAGGTATAGTTTATTAATGCTGAGAGATTCATTCATCAACACTCATCATTTTAATGATTTGCTTTGTTTATTAAGTTAAACTAAGACAGAATTTGTTATGACATTCTTTAAAGGATCTAGTACTGACTGGTAAATGTTTTTTTCCTTTCCTTAATTATTTACAATTTGTAACATTTTTGTGGATATGTTAGATCCCCCCAGAACTCACTTGATAGAGGCTGTAACTGTGGATTTTATGTTTTCGAACATAGGCTGAGAAGTTGACCTTCAGATTATATTTCCCACCAGGAAAATCGTTGAATGTCATAAGTTGATGTATTGTTTCATTACGCCATTTTGTGGTTCTCTCAAGGACGTTTCTATCATTGTATAAATAAACTCGATTTGTGTGCTTGTCAACCTCATCTTTTCTGTGTGCTTGTAGAATACACTTTCCACGCAATATCCAAACTTATTTCTTCCCTTAGACGAGGACAACGGATTAGAGTAGCCTACTCTGTCACTGCATCACTTGTCTTTGCTCTCGTTCACCGACTAAAGTGAACTCGTATTAGCATTCAAGCATATCAATTGTCAAGCATAATAAACACATTATGCAATGAGATGCATTAATAAGTCATCAAATGAAATTTAATAAAGTTTAATTTTTATCACCAGTATTCAATGTGAATTTTACAGAATATTTTAAATTATTCATAAATCGTACTAACTATGGTACTGATGTGGTGCGAGCTACTTATAAGTAGTATATGACGTGACTGTCAACGTAATGTCTGGCAGTAGAAGATTGGGGAAGATCAAGAAAGGAAGAGTTAGAAAACAATGGAATTTGTACGAAACGCATGAATAGTGACAATGTATTGATGTTGTTTGCAACAGGAACAGTCCAGTTCGATATGATGAACTGATATTTTGCAAATTAACGATTTACGATATGGTTTTCCTATTTTACTGAGTAACTCTGTAATTTTCGTTAAATATAATTCGGTTGCCCTCACCTGTGTTCTCGTTCACTACACTGATAGCGTTAGTTGAGAATGGCGCACTGAATACAAAAAAATTCAATGTCCACTATGCAATGTTTATACAATCATTAAATAATAACAAGATTCATGAAATATCCATGAGTAATTTATTGGTTCTACTTTTTTTCGGGTTGACTATTGTTGATTTATTTATCAAGAAAGAGAAATTGTTCAAGTATTCAATTTTAAAGTAACTTCTAATGTTATTTATAATTGAATAAATAGGAATTCTCAAATGTGTTGAGAAGATACTTCAATAATTAGAAAATGAACCAATGTAATAGAAAAACTTAAGGATTGTTAGTTGTTGTGTACCCGTCATCTTTACTGTTGATTAACCCGCTTGTTATCTACTAGTCATTCTATTTTAGTGTTCTAAAAAAACTATCTTTATATAAATGGACGATTTAACTCAGGAGATAGAATGTGTTCGTGGATCGATAATGCGTTACGTTATGTAGATCCTCATTATCAAAACTCATAGCAAAATATTTATCATCTTCAAGTTATTTATTTTTTTGAAGGGAATGCTGTATATGAGAGATTTCACTTCATTTATCAATAGCTATATATGTAAACATGAGTTGAGTTTTCACTGTTCAATATGTGTGCGATATCAAGAATATTTTAGCCTTTTCGCTTATCATTTACTGAGTGGATTTTGATTACAAACTGTAACTTTCACTTTTTTGCATATTGAAATAATCAACCAATCATTGTTAGAGCAACATTGGAAACCTGGAAGCGACATCGTGAGCTCCACACCCAGCACCGACGGGTCACCATCAGCCGACAGCCTCGCCAACCAGAACCTCTGCGGCGCCTCCTCTAAGTCCACCGGGCTGTCTAACTCCATCAACAGCCGCCCGGTGACCGTCCTCCACGCCGTCTTCCCGGCGGCAGCGTCCCCAGCACCGCCAACCCCGCCCCGGGCCCTTTCACACCCACCAGCTCCACCGCGGCCTTGAATTCCTCCAGGGAGCTCCGCAAATCTCCGTCCTCCAACTCCTTCTGCCACGGGAGCTCCTTCCTTCGAGCAGGCAGCGACACCAAATGTAGTGAACGAGAACACAGTGGGGGCAACCGAATTCTATTTAACTGAAATTACAGAGTTACTCAGTAAAATTGGAAAACCATATCGTAAATCATTATTTGCAAAATATTAATCCATCATATCGAACTGGACTGTTCCTGTTGCAAACAACATCAATACATTGTCACTATTCATGCGTTTCATACAAATTCCATTGTGTTCCCACTCTTCCTTTCTTGATCATCCCCCATGTTCTGCTGCCAGACATTACGTTTACACTCACGTCATATACTACTTATAAGTAGCTCACACCACAATATGTATACATGAGATGAGTTTTCAATGTTCAATATGTGTGCGATGTCAGGAATTTGCAGCTTTTTCGCTTATCATTTACTGAGTTGATTTTGATTACAAACTGTAACTTTCACTTTTTTGCATATTGAAATAACCAATCAATCATTGTTAGACCACCATTAGAAACCTGGAAGCACTGGATGGTCGTTGCGTACTGTTATGGGACTCATTAGCAGTGCGTATCCATGACACCTGCACCCCGCAGGATTCGGACCCAGGACCTTCAGTCTTACGCGCGAACGCCTAGCCTCTGGACTGCTGATGAGTCCCATAACAGAACGCAACGGCCATCCAGTGCTTCCAGGTTTCCAATGGTTCTCTAACAATGATTGGTTGATTAATTTCAATATGCAAAAAAGTGAAAGTTACAGTTTGTAATTAAAATTCACTCAGTAAATGATCAGCGAAAAAGCTGCAAAATTCTTGACATCTCACACATATTGAACATTGAAAACGTAACGCATTATCGATCCACGAACACATTCTATCTCCTGAGTTAAATCGTCCATTTATATAAAGATAGTTTTTTTAGAACACTAAAATAGAATGACTAGTAGATAACAAGCGGGTTAATCAACAGTAAAGATGACGGGTATATGACAACTAACAATCCTTTAAAAGAAGGCTGTTTTTCCTCTTGTAATGTTTATGTACTTAGATAATTACTGATTCAAAGTCATCAAGTCATTCCTTCACATTATTAAATTCATTGTATTATTTCCCCTCTATTAATTACTTACTTACTTATGCCTGTTACCCCCAATGGAGCATAGGCCGCTCACCAGTTTTCTCCAACCAACTCTGTCCTGGGCTTCCCTTTCCAGTTCTGTCCAATGTTTGTTCATTCCTCTCATATCTTTCTCTATTTCTCGGCGTAATGTGTTCCTTGGACTTCCTCTTTTCCTTTTGCCTTGAGGGTTCCATGTGAGGGCTTGTCTCGTGACGCAGTTGGGTGCTTTTCGTAGTGTGTGTCCTATCCACTTCCACCGCTTCTTCCTGATTTCCTCCTCCACTGGAATCTGACTTGTTCTCTCCCACAGTTCGTTGTTGTTGATGGTGTCTGGCCAACGACCTCTATTTATTGGTCATAATTATTTCTCTGTGCTGTAAAACGCAATACCTGAACTGAATTAATTAATTTTACTGATCACCGGAATACAACGGCTGTATCGAGTCAGTTAACTTTGAAATTTCTCTTTTATTTTTTTCAAAAACAAAAGTATACGTGACAACAATGTCAGAAAAAAATGCATGCATACATGCATAAAACTAATTGCAAAGTATAATTTTCACCAGTTTATTTTTTCTTTTTGTGTAAATGTTCCAATGACAAAATACCAACCGACAATCAATCCACCTATAAAAATAAAATTGCCTGTAAAATGTTTCAAATGTTTCAAACACATGGAATTCCATTCATTGAATTCCAACGAATTTGATAAATAAAAATTCACCAGTCAATTAACCATACAAACAACGCGTATATGTGCGTGGGTGAATCAAATCAACCAATCATTTGATTAGATTGTTTCATTCAATCAGATTTCAATAAGCTTGTCTGTCTATATACTACACATTAATTGACATCAACAATAATTGTTGGCCTCCATAGAGAAGGCAATGATCATTATTGGAAAAATCATATTAAAACTGTAGAAAGTGACATAGAGAGAGAGTAATAGTAGTAGTATTAGTGGTAGTAGTTGTAGTAGTCACGTTTCTGTTATTTGTGAATACATACCTATTGAACACTTTTGCAAGTTGAACAAAAATCAAATTGAACAATATATACTACTAACTATTGTTAATTGTGAAAGAAAGTTATTCACACACTATCCACACACACACTCAGTAATTTGGTGAACAATTGAGAAAATTTTGACTTATTCATTGTTTTGCAAATATCGTATAACAACCAAATTGTGCCTTATAAAAAAAAACAATGTTACATATATATTATATCTGATCTAATAAATCTGATCAACAAATTGTCTTATTGTGCATTAATTTCAATTATTATATCTTTGGATAGAAAGTGCAATTCCAGTGTATTTTATCCTAATATATTATTTATCAATACATCTGAGATTATATATATATAAATACAAATACAATACAAGAAATATTAAATTTTGAAAATTTATTGACAAATAATTCTTTTGAAAGGTAAGAAATTATTGACATTTTCCTATTTTTTTTAATGTCGTAAAACTACTACATGTATGGGTGCCTAACTTTTTTTATCATGTTAATAATATACTACTTATTAGAGGTTTTATGAATAATAATTCTTAATATATACTAGGTTATTGTTAACTGACATGAGTCTAAATCATTTGCAAATCGAGTTTCATGGTGTGTATGTCAGTGAAAATGTTTTGTTGTTCCTCGATATAAGATCTATATATATTATGATATGTTATGATCAAATCGAACATAACTAACTTTACACTATGGGTAATTTTAAAATCAATAGAAAAAATAGGAAAGAAACCCATATTATACGATAACTTCGAAACTTTTTAATCAAGTCAGAATGTGATTGATTATGTAACTAACTTCCATACATTTATGTAAATAAAGAAAATTGTAATAGATTAAATAATGTAATGTTTTAAATTTTTAATTTTTTAATCTCTTAGATTATTAATTAAAGTAATGAATGAATTTTAACTAGTTGAGCTCAAATTTCAATTTTTTATTGCATCTATATCTTTGTGTAATCAACGAAAGTATTGACATTAATCTTTATTATCTTAAAGTATTACCTAAATACTAAGTAAATAAACTTATATTACGCGTGTATTCTGCTGATGTTTGTTAAACCTTTAATGAAATAACAGATTAAAACATGCTCACTTTATACTATTGACATTTTTCGTGTTGTATAATATATTCAGTTCTAAACACATGTACATTGTATGATAGTGGGAGACTTAAAAGTTTTATCATCGTAATAACAGCTTTCTACCATTATAAATTAGTGTAATCTCAGCCTTTGTTTAGTTTATGTTTGACAAGAAGGAAGGTACATTGTATGATGAGAGAGTATGAGGAGTAACGTGTAAGGTAATCTAGATGAGGTGAGCTGACGACTCAGTAAGCATACAGAATAATACACTTACATTAGTAATGAAAGTAATCGACACAAGCATAAGATTATAAAACAAACTGATAATCGAAATTGGTGGAAGTAGGTAAAGAGTAAAGTTTCCAATACGTTCCAGTGGATGTTTTCAATTATTCACATTCAAATATTAAATTTGTTAAAATATGAAACTTACAAAATGATTGCCAACAATACATCAGAAATAATCAAACATAATGTGGTGTGAGCTACTTATAAGTAGTATATGACGTGAGTGTCAAGGTAATGTCTGGCAGGGGAAGATCAAGAAAGGCAGAGTTAGAACACAATGGAATTTGTATGAAACGCATGAATAGTGACAATGGATTGATGTTTTTTTGCAACAGGAACAGTCCAGTTCGATATGATGAACTGATATTTTTGCAAATGAACGATTTACGATATTTGGTTTTCCGATTTTACTGAGTAACCAACCCTGTGTTTCCGTTCACTACAATAATACTTTTAATATATATTCAAAAATAATTAAGTTTATTTTCGTCTAATTTAAATATTAATAATAATAATAATAATAATAATAATAATTTGGAAATTATTCTTAAATCTGCGGCCAATTAAAATTCAGCTCAACAAAACAACAACAGCAAAAAAATCAATAAAGTCTGTAAGTACATATTGTTTCATGAAAATATGTTTTCAAACTCATTCTCTCTCATTCTGTCCCAGTCTCAGTTTCATATTATTATTATTATTATTGTTGTGTTTTTATTTTTAAGCGGACTATTAAGTAAACAAATCAAGACATAAAATGATTAATTAATCAGACGAATCAATGTTCCACAGTGAGAGAAATGATGGGAGGACATTGTACGAATGAACCAATTGAAATTGATAACTCTGCTTTTAAACCTTTCAAAATCGAATTTCACATATCACAAGTAGTAGTAGTAGTAGTAGTAGTAATACATTTTGTACATTACTTATAAAAGCATTTAAACTAATTGCGAGCAATCAGTTTTTTTGTCATTGTCGGGTAAAAACAAAAGTATTTTATTGTTTGTTAAATCGGATCAATTAGTCAATTCTGCTGTCTCTGTGTAGACTATACATGTCAGTCAGTCAGATGCAGCGTAGAACTTCGTACGTAAGTACATCAGTTCATGTCGTCATAACACATCAGCACAGAGATATAATTGTCAATTCAAATCCAATAGTAGTAGAGGTAGTAAGAGTATTAGAAGTAATCGGAGAGGTTAGGGTTAGAAGATACTATTCAAGAAGTATGATTCAGTGAGGTAAGTTTAGAGAGTCGAAACTGGAGGTGTTGAAGAATCCAGAAGATTAGAGTTTGAGAGAACAAAAAATTACTAGAACACAAACATACTATTGATTTAGACTATACATGACAGATAAATCAATAGTATGCCTAACTCCTAATATACGAAAAACTTTGTATTCTAAAACAAACTTGAACTTGATGTCATTATATTATTTTTTTTAAATGCGATGATGAGTCCCATACCAGGACAAAACGGCCGTCTTTCAGTGCTTCCAGGTTTCTAATGGTGGTCTAACATTGATCAATTCATGGTTACAAATAAAATGTGATTCATTCATCCATTTGACTACAGAGAATTTCTACTTTGTAGGTGATAATAGTTTGTGAAGGAAAAACTTTAACCCCCTAAAATATACTGTCATTCTAACGGAAAACAATGTGGGGATTCATAAGAAAAAAATTATTTCTATTCTTAAGGAGTTTAAAATTTTGGTTTTCTTTTTTTTCGACTTGGCAGTTCGCTCCGTTCTCCTATATGGTTGTGAAACATGGCCAGTGAGAGTAGAAGATATTCGTAGGTTACTGGTTTTCGATCGTAGGTGTCTTCGAAGCATTGCTCGTATACCGTGGGACAACCGAGTGAGCAATGCTGTCGTTAGGAAACGAGTACTAGGTAAGGATGGCAGATCAATAGATGAAGTAATGAAACTTCATCAGTTGAAGTGGTTGGGACATGTCTTGCGTATGCCGAACCACCAACTGCCTCGACGAACTTTGTTTTGTAGTGTAGGAGTAGGTTGGAAGAAAGTTAGGGGCGGCCAAACCAAAACATGGCACAAAGCCATGAAGTCATTGACTAGTGGACTGAGCCATGTCGGTAATTGTCGACTACCTGGTTGGGGTCCGCGAGATGATAATAATCGATGGTTAGAGACCTTGAATGACATGGCTCAAAATCGTTCGCAATGGCGCCGGTGCATTTATTCTTTGTGTTATCTCAAATCCTAATCTTCTGGATTCTTCAACACCTCTAGTTTTGACTTTCTAAACTGTTCTCACTGAATCGTACTTCTTGAATAATATCTTCTAATCCTAACCTCTCTGATTACTTCTAATACCTTTACTACCTCTTCTACTATTGGATTTGAATTGACGATTACTTCTCTGTGCTGATGTAGTATGGCAACATGAACTGATGTACTTAAGTACGAAGTTCTACGTTGCATCTGACTGACTGACTGACTTTTTTCGACTTACAGACTTAACTTGTATGGATGACTTTATTCGATACGTAATAAATTTTAGAAAACCTATTTACAGTTTGTTGTAATAATACTAACTATCGGTCTGCTTTTTTTTTGTATATTGGTTAAAAAAAAATTGGACAAAATTGTTTTAAAACTCATTCCAATCGAATAGTTAGTTTCATTCCACTAGAATATTATTCTTTGGTTAATAGATATTTTATCATGATTATTCTGTCCAATAGCTATTCACAGTAACTTTTTATTCATCAAAGTTTATTTATTGAAACTAAGGAACATGAACATGAAAGATTTATAAGAAAAAAAATATTCAAGTCTGTACTTGTTTATTTATGCCTGTTACCCTTAACGGACACTGCCTACCACCAGCATTCTAAAACCAATTGTGTACTCCTCACTCTTTTCCAGTTCTAATCATTTTTTTTCATGTTTGTCTCTGTTTCTCGGCACATAGAGTGTGTTTCTTTGTCTACCTAGTTTAATTTTGCCTTGTGGGTTCCAAGTTAGAGTGTGCCTTGTGATACAGTTGGGTGCTTTCCTTAATGTGTGTCATGTCCACCTCCAACGCTTCTTCCTCATTTCTTTCTCTGTTGGAATCTGGTTGCTACTAATGGTGTCTGACCAATGGATCTGCAGTATCCTATCCACTTCCACCGCTTCTTCCTGATTTCCTCCTCCACTGGAATCTGACTTGTTCTCTCCCACAGTTCGTTGTTGTTGATGGTGTGTGGCCAACGAATCCGAAGTATTTTGCGAAGACAGCTGTTAATAAACACTTGTATTTTGTGGATGATGGCTTTGGTAGTTCTCCATGTTTCCGCTCCATACGATAGAACTGTCTTGACATTTGTATTGAAAATTGTAACTTTGATGTCGATCGACTGTTGTTTCGACTTCCAGATGTTCATTAACTGTTGAAATGTTGTTCTCGCTGTGCTAATCCGTGTCTTAACATAGGCATCAAGTCTACCTTGCTTATTATTGATGTTACCTAGGTATGTAAAGATTTCTACATTTTCCAAAGCTCCTCCACCAAATTTGATTTGGTTAGTGTATGTTGTGTTGTATCGGAGGATGTTACTTTTCCCCTTGTGTATGTTGAGACCTAATGCTTTTACACTTGCCGTCTTCACCTACATTTGTCATTGTGTGGGATAGAATGACTAGGTTATCTGTGATGTCCAGATCGTCCAGTTTCATCCAAGCTGTCCACTATATTCCGTGCTTCCCGTCAGATGTTGACATCTTCATAATCTATTCCACAACCAGAAGAGAAATTGTGACAGTAAGCAACCTGTGGATCTAATTCGATAACTAGTAGAAAACTAGGTATTACTAAACACCATTGTTTCGTGTTAGCAAAATAGACTTGATATTATATCTAACAGACTTGTACTAACAATTTTCAAGTTAAACAAAGAATGAATATGTCCATCAATCAATAAGTTTGCATTCAATGACATTTTATTTCTAACTTCATATCCGTTAGAGTCATAAATAGATAACTGCTCATGAGTTTCATATTGTGCTCTGA